GGGCAGATGACTACCATGTCCCAGCGTGACTGGGCCTTTTGGATTTTCCAGGCTTCTTTCTCGGCGACGACTTTGGAATAGTGATATGGATTGTGGGTAACAGAGCTTGATTCGTTGAAATAGCTCTCAGCCAAGATGTTGTCCTTCATGCTCTTCACATCGATGTAGTCTCCGAAGATAGCACCAACTGAAACATGTTAATAATTATAGGTCTGTAGAAATTGAGTTCTTACTAGTAGATGTGAGAACCACCCGTTTGACGCTTTCAGTGCTGTTCACGCTGTTCAAGACATTTCGCGTTCCTTGCAATGCAGGATCTACCATGTCCTTCTGTCCATCCTTGATCTTCTCAGCCATCAAAAACGGAGAAGCGACATGATGAACAACCGAGCAGCCTGTCATGGCAGGTTCAAACGAACCTGGCTTGAGAAGATCTGCTTCAAATAGGTATAGCTTTTCGGGGTATTTCTCTTGCAAATTTCGTAGCGGTTGGACTTTACGCGTGTTGGTCAAGTCGCGTACGGTAGTGTGCACGCTATATCCGGCTTGCAGAAGCTGATTGACGAGATGGATGGCGATAAAGCCACTACCTCCGGTGACCATGTGCGTATCTGATGCCATAGTTTCAATTATGCGCTATAAATGTCAAAGAAATGTTTACTATATGCTTGTCGCTGATGTGGATCGACAGAGATTTATAAACAGATTGAGAACTGGTGTTTCTCGGGCTCCGCGGGCGTCGGTGAATATGTCGGCATGCTTATCCTGAATTTACGTGGTATCGATGAGTTGACCAGGCAGTATAAAGAGTCTACCCCGCAACTTTAAAGTCGATCTGATGGTGACTTGAATGAAATTAACATCAAGACCGGTGCCCGCGGGCCGAAAGATAGTCGTTCCTTGGGTTCTAGTTGTAGATAATGGTTACTTTTGTGAGCCTTATGATTATTGCTGCAGTTTTACTATAATGGAAAACTGGGTAGGCGCTCATAAAGGATGAGCTTGTAAGGGAGTGTTGCGCAAATCAACTCCCTTTGATGCAAGAGTTGATCAAGATCGATTCACAAGATATCAGTCACAACCTATGCCCAATGACATGCCGGGTCTCTCAGTATGAACTCTACCCCATGACCTCAAATCCCTTTCTGCAGCCTCACTAAACTGAATCAGGCAATCCGACCTTATCACCCCATATCTCCTCCCAAGACCGCCAAGCTTTCAATCGCATCCTCTTCAATTCAATTCCCTGTGCTCTTCACGTGTCTCAGCGAGTCAAAGTCTAGAACCGACCCGCATCTCCAGTTCGCCCCCCCCCCCAAGCTATCTCTGTTTAAGGGTTGATCCCGCAAGGATAATGCTCCAATCATCCCCGCAGACCTCGGCCTACTCCGTATGGGGTGAAGGCACAAAAAAAAAAGTTACACAAGGGGGACGAGGCAGCGAAATAAAAAACCTCGGCTGCGGTATTTTTTTAATCCTAATTTATCCTTTTTAACCAGGTTCTCTGAAAAGTATCATTTCTCAATTTGGCTGCATTTACTGTGAGCACGCGACATCAGCTAGGATGGCTGCTATTCCCGATCCCGAAAAGGAGTCTAAATCCGAGGCGCCTCAGCTCACCACTGAGGATCAGCTTGGAGTTGGGACTGTCTATGGCGATGAAACGCATAGAAGGCTCAAGGGTCGGCATATCCAACTTATTGGAATTGGAGGAACCATTGGCACAGTTCTTTTTGTATGTCTTACTGCTGTCTTTTACTCTACGACCGGAGCCTCAACGCAACAATTGATCCAAGGCTAACCTCATTCTCAGGTCCAAATCGGCAAAGGTCTAATGCAAGGCGGTCCTGGAAGTCTTTTCATCGCCTTCTCCTTCTGGTGTCTCATCGTCCTCACAATCACAATGTGCATCGCCGAAATGGTCTCTTACACGCCAATCTCGTCTCCGTTCGTCCGATTTGCCGGTATCTACGTCGACGAAGCTCTCGGTTTTGCCTCCGGCTGGAATTTCTTCATCTTCGAAGCCGCGCTTGTACCCTTCGAAGTCACAGCTTGCCACTTTATCCTTCAATTCTGGACCGATGCGATTCCTGTTGGCGCTACGATCGCTGTGATTATTGTGCTGTATGCACTCATCAATCTCATGGCGATCCAGTATTTTGGCGAGACCGAGTTCTGGGCTGCTATTGGAAAAGTCATTTTGATCGTTGGCCTCATCTTCTTTACGTTTATCGTCATGGTTGGTGGGAATCCGCAGAAAGATGCGTTCGGATTTACTTACTGGAAATCTCCTGGCGCATTTGCGGAACTTTACTACGACGGCGCCTTGGGTAAATTCGTGGGCTTTCTGGCTTGTCTCATCCAAGCAGCCTTCTCCATCGCTGGTCCCGATTATGTCGCCATGGCAGCTGGAGAAGCCGAAAACCCTCGCAAGATTCTACCCCGGGCTTTCAAGACGGTGTTTTACCGGCTCACCTTCTTCTTCGTGCTTGGATCCCTCTGCGTGGGCATTCTCGTGCCTTACGATGACCCAAACATGATCGCTGCTTTCAGGGATGGCAAGGCCGGAGCCGCTGCTTCGCCATACGTTATCGCCATGGACCGTCTTGGGATACGGGTTCTGCCGCATATTGTCAACGCCATGATTCTGGTGTCGGCGTTTTCCGCCGGCAACTCCTATGTGTTTTGTGCGACGAGATCTTTGTACGGCCTTGCGCTTGAAGGAAAAGCACCGAGGTTTCTGAAAATCTGCACTAAGACTGGTGTTCCTATCTACTGCGTCCTTGTTGTTCTTCTCATCGCTTTACTATCTTTCCTTCAGCTTTCGAATAGCTCAGCTGTTGTACTGAGCTGGTTCGTCTCTTTGGTCACAGCCTCTCAGCTGATCAACTTTTCCGTCATTTGTCTTACATACCTTTGCTTTTACCGTGCCACCAAGGTGCAGGGTTTCGACCGCTCGACCTTGCCTTATCGCGCGTGGTTTATGCCACATGCTGCGTACGTCGGCTTAGTTGCAACCTTCATCATGGTATTTGTTGGAGGATATACTGTTTTCCTCCCAGGAATGTGGGATATTCCAAGCTTCCTGTTCTCGTAAGTATCTTTGTAGATATGATGAGGATACAGCTAACAGCCACAGATACACATCAGTTGGACTATTCCCAGTATTTTATGTCGGATGGAAGATTGCGCACAAAACAAAGATTGTTAAGCCAACTGAAATCGATTTACGGCATAACTTGGCCCCAATTGAAGAGTACGAGAGAAATTATGTATCCAAACCACCAGCGTACGTATATCTGCCTCTTTGAAGAATGATAAAATGCTAATAAACTCACAGAAATTGGTTTGAGAAGGTTTTGCACTTTTTATTCGGTTAAAGCATACTGTCACACAAGAATATGCAAGTATCAAGGATAGGAAGCTGAGATCGGTGAATACAACGGTAGGGTTTGGCGACATGATTCAACATTTCTGTATATCTACAAGCAAAATTACTAGACGGCATCTGGGACGGTTAGATAAAAGGGCAACTAGCATACGATGATACCCAAGTTCGGTCGCAAAGCTATCATTTCTTCAAAGCGCGCATTAGAAACAGAATATTCTCCATGAATGTCTGATCTGTTTCTTCCAGATCCATTGGTCTATTTCTGAACATATGGTGCCAACGTCTCGGCAGACCTCCTCAAAAGTTCGGTGTAATAAGTCTCAGACAACAACCCTGACCCGTGATCGATAATAAACTGCAGTTGGTCAGGCGTAACATCCACCTCTCCCGTCTCCAACTGAGCCTTGCCACAATCCCCAACAGGCGTTCGATCGATAGCTGGCATAAACTCAACAGCTAAGCCACCGTCGTACCCAGCTTCAGCGAGTGCCTTCATAATCCTAGGCCAATCAAATGATCCATCTCCTGGAGCAAGTCTGTTATTATCGCCCACGTGAAAATCAACGATACGCGACTTGCATGCGTGGATGGCTGCAATAAGATTCTTCTCCTCGAGTGCGAGATGAAATGGATCAAAGGCAATCCCAACGCCATATCCAACCTCATCGGCGAGAGCAAGAGCTTGGTTTGAGCGATTGAGGAAGTAAGTCTCAAACCTATTCAACGGTTCAAGACCAATCTTGATACCCTTCTTCTGCGCAAAAGCAGCAACTTCACGAAGGCCCTCGACCGCCCACTGCCACTCATTCTCCGGAGTAGAAGAAGGAATAATAGTGCCAACTGTTCCGGGAACGACGGTGGTGATCTGACCGCCGAGCTCAGCGGACATGTTGACGACTTGCTTCATGTACTCGATCGTATCTCGTCGTTGTTGAGGGTCAGAGGCGAGGAGATTTCGCTTGCCGTGCATGACTGTGACGGTTCCCCAGCATTTAATGTCGTATTTTTGAAGAAGGTTGCGGGTTGAGGCAATGGGGAATTGATCGGGTTCGCCGGCTAGTTCAATGCTGGTGTAACCGAGACGGACGAGTCTTTGGAGGGTCTGCTCAAGAGGCTCGGGCCGCATCCAGGTATGAGAGGAGAGATGCATCTTGAAATGAAGATTGTGTCGATTATTGAAAGACTATAAGTGTTTGAGAGTTGGTTGAATTTTTAAAGATACGGTTTTCCTTTTTATCTTTACTTGATGTCTGCTCTTGCTGGCTGCTCACGGAATGTCAGTGAGCGGATGGTTGTCTTCCGTTAAAGTGGAGCATGATGACTAGAGGCGGAGCATCAACTTCCGCCTTATTAATTGAATCGGTGAGACTTTGGAGCTCGCATTACTAACGAGCGATGCAAGTAGATGACAACGAAGGTCGTAAGACCTTACTCACAAGGAACACAAGATTCCGCTTCGAAATACTAAGCTCAACGTCAGTTTGAGCGAACTATATATATCTGAATCATGTCTCGCAGAATGGAAACACCAACCCAAAACTTCAAGTCTTCAACCAGTCCTCTACTTCTATACTAAACTCGAACCCTGACTACTATACTGTCAAGCATCATGTCTATCCCTTGGAACGACGACTCAGTCTTTGAGTCTTACAACATTATTGAAGAGACGTGAGTACCAAATCATAGTGTGCTTTGATTGGTGACTGACAAGGGCAAGATTCAAAACTGTCTCATCCCATGATATCAAAACAGCCATTCTGATCCCCAAGAACCTCAAGCCAGGTCACCACCCAATCATCTATCACATACATGGTGGTTTTCTAGTCATGGGGAGTGGCCTGTTCGGCCCTTTCTTCCCTAAGTGGGTTGATAAGCTTGCACTCCAAAACTCCGCCATTATTGTCTCCCCCGACTACAGACTTTTGCCTTCTGCGAATGGTCTGGATGATGTGCTTGAGGATGTCGAAGATGGCTGGCAGTGGACCAAGAATAACTTGCCTGCTATCCTGAAAGAGAAGGCTCCTGGTCACTCTGTTGACTTTTCGCATGTCCTTCTTGCCGGAGGATCAGCTGGGTAAGTCATCTCCAACACAAAACATCAAAGCGTATCGCTAATGGTCTTACCAGTGGATACTGCTCAACTCAGCTTGCTCTCTCTCATCCCGACGACTTTCACTCTCTTGCTGTCGTGTATCCTCTGCTAGACACCAAAGACAGACTGTATCTTCAAGGTGCACTCCCTGACGAACCAACCGTACTACGTATGCCGCTAGAAGAAATCCCATCTATGGAAGATACTTTAGCTTGGATCGAAAAGACGCGCAAAGTTCCCGAATCAAGAGCTGGTTTTGAGAGAACTCCCTTCGCAGTCGCAGCCTGCCAGCGGGGAATTTTCGCATCTCACATGCTTGACAACAAGGGTCTTGACAAGACGATCTTCCATCCTCTTGAGAGAGTTGAAGCTGGTGCGAAATTACCCGAGCATATGTAAGGCACACTGAACTATATGAAAATGGCGATAAAACTGACCAAGCGTAGGTGGATCATGCATGGAGATGATGACTCGACAGTGCCCATCCGCGGCTCTCAGAAGTTTGTTGACCTCGTGGCTGAGAAGCTACCAGAGACTGTTGTGCGATACGATCCCGTTGCTGGTGAGGATCATGGCTTTGAATTTGACGAGAAGAGATGGGAGTCTTTTGCCGATGAGGCACTTGCCTTTGTGAGAGATGCTTGGTTAGCTTAGAGCCTTAGAGAACTGTGACTGGGTTAGGGCCCATGTTATCTCTTATGTATTCAAAATATCTATAGAATATTTCAAATGCCCTCCAGAAAGATGTTATTGAATTTAGCAGCGAGTGCGATCTGTGGCTGATCCTCTCGTGGGGAGATGTACCCTCCAGTCTTCCCTACAGGTGGTTTGGCAACGTCAGTTCCTCAAAAATCGGGGAGAGATCATGTTCGGTGCACACGTCGCTCAGCTGTAATGTTTACATGCCAACTTACATCGATTATCGGGGAGTATGTTCGACGATAAACTTGACCAAAACTTTAATATGACTACATTCATCTCGTCTCAGGCTTTGGGAACTCGTTTATGAGATGCATTCCTCAGGTCATAATCATAGCTCACTCGCCATCAACCCGCGGCATACCGAGTAAAGTCAGTCAATTCCAGTGATGGCCAGGATGCAAAAGACCGGTTTAAAAATATCATACTTCGCCACCTGATTTATGCAATCGCTATCTCAACAGCTGGGCCTTTTGTTCCGATCAAATGCAGCCATCCATGGTTCGTGGTGCAAGTATTCTGGGTAACAGAACACTACAGATTCTACCAACCCCCTCCAAACAGATAGAGATTATCGTATCTGACCCCGCGACCACCATATCAGCCTATCATGTTGAACCTCTTGGGTAACATTCACCACTGCAACTATTGCGAGGTCCAATAAATCCCCCCGCCTGATGTCTTGTGCCCCATCTCACATATCTCTCACTGTCTCACCTCCGAAAAGGCCAAGTCAGCGGCAAAAACCGTTATCATTTCTAGCCACAACGTTTCGTTGTGAGACCTCCTCATCTCAAAAAGTTCCCTAACCCCGGAGTATTACTGGATAGACTTAATTTTTGGGTTACAGCTAGAGTGGGCAGCCGGCAGATCTGATAAGGCTACTGTCCACTGATCATCAGCCCAATGAAAAGCTCTCGTGATGCCACTTGCCGAGTCACGATGTCGGACGATAGGGATCTAGTGACTCTCGGGGGGCGGACCCTTGGACCCTCACACGGGAAAAAAGAGTGGCTCGTCTCCGCAAGTGGGGATCTCCGACGCCGATCGACCTAGCACCAACACGGACTGCTCACACGTCATTCGACTGCGTGGCTTGAGGGGAACCAAGCATTGGCTCGTTTCGAAACTTGGCATGGTCATTCCCTCTCTTTTCCTACTCCATGCATGCATCGATATCAATATTTCCCATTTGCTATTGTTGTGAATATTTTCCCATATAAAGCCCTTTGTGAATACCCTGCTTTTTCTTGTCTCTGCCCGTGAGGATAACGCCGCTTTGTCTTCTTATCCACTAGTGCTGTGCCGCGTGCGTAAGCGAGCTTCACGTCTTTTTCCCGCCGTTTCCACGAGAGAATTTTCAACGGTCATCCTTTGACCATGAGATTCCAATCCCCCCTCATCGCAGTGGCTTCCGCCCTGTGGCTGCTTTGCCCATCAGTTCTAGCTCAAGAGTCCGCAGCTCCCGCGGATGCATCGGGCTCTTTATCCCTCAACACCGACAAGCCATTATGGACATTTGAGTACCAGACTTCAACCCCCAACCTCGCCAACTGGATTGGCCTGTACTACAGCGCTGGCGGCGGGCCCGTGGACCAGAAGAAGGGCTCGTCCAATTCCATCAAGTGGAAGTGGGCGCCTCATGACAAGGGCGATGTGCAGCTTGACTTTGGAAGCCTTGAGCCTGGAAACTACACGGCGTTCTTTCTGGCGAATGGCGGTTATACGTGGCTTGCTCCACCTCTTCAGATCATCAAGGGTCGTGAGCTCGATGGTGATGTGAAGTTTATTGTTTCTGACATTTCTCTCCCTAATGCTCGTGTTGGTGATGGTTATTCGCATAGCATCAGAGGCCTTGTCCGCGGTGGAGGCGGCACCATGAAATTCTCCAGCGAGGGCTCTAATGTTGACTGGATCAAGATCAGCGCTGATGGTATCATCTCCGGAACACCTACTTCAAGCGCTGATAAAGCCGTCTTCACCGTTCGCGCCACTGGAAGGGATTCCGCCTCATCCGGTGTCTTCACCATCAACGTCGCTGGCTCCGGCAAGGCTCTGCTAAGCGAGCTCAAGGTCCTCACTCTCAACATGTGGAATGGCGGCACTAGAGTTACTAGCTACCACGACAAGCAGGTTAAGTTCCTTGCTTCCTCAGGCGCCGATGTCGTGGGTATTCAGGAAGACCAGCAGGGCCGCCATGTCCCTCGTCTCGCCGATGCTCTGGGCTGGTATCACTGGTCCAGCGGCGGTGATGTCGGTGTTCTTAGCAAGTATCCCATCGTCGAGGACTACGGTGTCATCAGCGGCCCTGCTCGCTCCGGTGGTGTCAAGATTGCTCTCGATGGCAAGAACCAGCATATCAACTTCTTCGTTGCTCATCTGGGTTATACTCCCTATGGACCTTACGACACATGCTATGATCATCTGCCTGTCGATAAGATCATTCAGCGAGAAGCCCAGTCGGGTCGCACTCCTCAAATGAAGGCTACCCTTGAGGGAATGAAGAGCCAGCTTGACAACGCTGACAATATCCCCGTATTCTTTGTCGGCGACTTCAACGCCCCCTCTCATCTCGACTATGTCGATGGCTTGAAGGAGAAGAACTGCGGTTACTCCAACATCCAATGGCCTACCTCAATTCTCCCCAAGGAGAAGGGCCTCATTGACTCATTCCGTGTCGCTCATCCCGACCCCGTCAAGGAGCAGGGCATCACCTGGTCTCCCATCTACATCTGGAACGGTGGCTACCGAAAGCCCGAGCCCCTTGACCGAATTGACTTTATTCTTCACAAGGGCAAGGGCCTCAAGGTTACTGACTCTCATACCGTGGTCGTTGGTGAGCCTAAGCCTGAGCCTAACCATAAGGACAATGAGTGGTTCTCTGACCACGCGGCCGTCTTGACGACTTATGAGCTTTAGGTCTGGAACCAAGCTTCGAAATCAACTTTGATGTTACGGCCTATTTAGATGACTTGATGACAAATAAGAATGAATAAAAATTTCTTCAACAGAATGCATAAACAGAGGTCCCTCCACTGTGAATAACCGCGAGATGAGATGATGGGGCTGTACCCCAGCTCAAAGCATACGCCGCATCGGCCACCAAATCTAGGAATGTGTTATCGAAAATATTATAAGCAAATGGCATGTTAATAAATTAACAAACATCTTGGCCTCAGTTGGATCGAGCAGCGCTAACGATTCTTTAGTGGAAGCAACTCATGCTGTCGCTTGATCAATTTCTATAAATATGCTCTGCTCGGCAATCAATCAACCCATGTGAAATTCCCCATCTCATTACCATCTACAAACAATTACTTAATTGCCGTCTCAAAATCGGGGTCCTTTTGTTTTGCCCTTATGCAACCCATGGCGTTTCAGAAATCTAGCGAAAGCGGGTGAAACAAACCCCCGAAACCCCTTCTGCAAAACAACACCTTCATTCTCCACAGATCAGATCAGATCATCAAGCGATTTTGTTTCCGCCAAGTGATCTATCTCTCCGCAAAAGCCCATCGACTGCCGTAATCGTCATCCACAGGCTTCCAATCGTTGTAGTATTCCTTCTCAGGGCCTTTGGAGAGGTCTTCATAGTCCCAGATGGCGGGGTAGCGATAAAAGTAGACGTGGCGTAGACTAGGTGTAGATGATCTGGAGCCGTAGCTGAGGAACGTCCGCATCATATCTCGGATCGCTCTTTTAGTGTAGAGATCTTTGAAGGTAGAATACTCTTTCATTAATTCGTCTTTGATGGTAAGAGAGAAGAGATTGGGTGGTAGAAGATCGGCTAATGGTTGCCAATCCTCTGAGGCTGCATGGCCATGGAGAAAAGTGAGAGGAGTTTCAAGATCCGTCAGTGACAGAAACCCTCGAAAATCGTCAATGCGGCCATGAGTTAGCGGCCACTCACGACCAGAGAAATCAATAAGCCCTCTTTCCATAATAGTCAAGTTGAGCGTTAATTTGGTCAAGGAATGGCGAACAAGCTCCAGTCCTCTCCTCAGCTCATCAACGTCAAAGTCGCATTCAAAAGCGGGAAGATAACAAGCATAGTACAAAGTCTTGAGATTGGGCGTCTGGGCAAGCATTGCCGTGATGTTATGGGTGTTTGACGAGCAGTGATCCAGATGAAGTGTAGTGAGAAAGGTAGCTTGAGGTGCAGACGAAAGAGGCCAGAAAGGATTTGTGTCCGCCAGTTTGCTGTTCTCCCCTTTGCGATGACTGGCGAAACTTTCGAGTGAGAGAGTTCTTGCGTTTGGAAGATAGAATGATGATGGGTGGATTCCTCTTGGAAGTTGCTGGTAACCTAACCAGCCTCGCGGATTGGCGACTTCGAAGTACGTGACATTCTGGAGATTGCTTGATTTGCTTTGAGGTGAAAGCGAGTTCTTGAATAGCTCGAGGAGCCATTTATGGCTGTATAGAAAGTATCCAAGGTCGATTGTAAGACTCTGGACTTCGGTACATGCAGCGATGATGAGCGATAAGATAAGATCAAAGTCGCGATCCGCAAATGCCACGTTCAGCTTTTCCGTCTCAGAAAAGCTCAATTCATCAATCCCATCAAGAATTATCTGCCGAGCCTCCTCATTCTCCACTGGGTGAAAAATTAAAGGCTTCAATTTCCCAGTGTGACGAAAATGCTCGTCATGAACGTAATTCTCAATTCGAAATCTCAAGCTCTTAACATGACTCCTCAGCGCGGGTCGACTCAATATCGCAAAAAGAAAGCCAACGCCCCAGGGTAGTCGCTTTCTGCGAGCCGCGCGTATTCTCTCCAGCCGTCTCAACTCTTTGGGCTCAGGTGGCGGGGAATCTGGCGCTTCGACGTCGTGCGTTATGGCGATGTCGCGGTAGAGAACTGAAACAGTTGCGGTGTGGAGATCTTTGCTTGTTTGACAAAGATGGAGTTGATCGCGAATGGATAGCCGAGGGATGATCTCGAATCTTAAGATGTTGATTGTTTCAACGAAAGTGGCCATGTTTGCACTCATTTCAAGACAAAGACAGAATGAAGGCAAAGAAAGAGATTACAGCAAATGTCCTCGTATTCTAGATTATATAGACTCAAATTTACTGAAGCTATACGGCATTTGCTCTAGATTCGGTGATTTGCTCATCTGGCTAGGGTCACTCTAGGACCCATCGTGAACGAGAAACTGTGGATCGTGAACGAGGAGACCCGTGCTCCCCGACGGTACAAGCCGAAACCAGACCGAGTCATTACAGAGTCGCAATCTCTCTCTGTATACGACTCTGCAAGTCAATTGATACAATGGATCTTCTCAGCAGACCTTATCTGATACAATTGATAGGCGAGTAGTCTCCTCTGAGCAAAAGGGTCTCGAGAAACGAGTCTTTTCCGCTGAGTAACACGCCAAGAATCTGAGCGCAGACTTGTCAAACTTAAAAGGCTGGAGTATAGAAACTTATCAGATCAATCAGCGTCTCCCCAAATCTCATCTATCAGATAAGACGTTAGTAGAAACCAACGTGTTCTTTAATTGGAATACCAAGCTTTCTCTCCTCTATTTCTAGATAGCCAAGAGAGCTTCAGTCTGCGGGGGGAGAGGGACGCGTTGGCAGTGACACACTGCCAAGAGTGAGAAGTCCATTATGCCCAGGTCATGATACACTATTGCCAGTGGGGTTTTGGTCAGAAAAGAATAACAAGTGCCGATATCTCAGTATAAACGACGCGTTCCCCAGATGATCATCACAGACACTGAGACGGCCAAGAAATAAGGGGACCGCCGGAAACTAGAGGTTCCGCCCCCTGCGGTGGGTATATTTGCAATACGACGTCGTAGAATTTCCAACCTGCGACACCAGATCTGCCCTGCTCCCGTAACATGCTTAACTGTAGCCGCAGATCTCCGCGACGCCACGCCATACCAAAACGGTCTCGGCTACATGGTACTCCCGCCCAGACATGGGGGGAACAACAGAGGGCAGAAAAAAAAAGTACCGTAGCTGAGTGAAACAGTGACGCTTGAAACTGTGCCGTGACACGATGCTCGTTTCGCATCAAAAGTCGCCTCAATTTGTATTCATCAACTTAAAATAGTTTATTATAACGTCGCCAAGAAGACTATAAAGATGAACTGAGATCCCGCCAAGCTGGGGTTTTCTTTCATTCGTTATCCTGCACTCTCTGTTCTAGGCTGGTACCTGGGCGACATACATTTCCTTTGTACGTTTCCTTGTGTTGATTCAGTTCTTCTTTCTTTCCTTGGAATTTCGTTTCTATTCTTCCTTGGTTTGTTTCTAGTCTTGTTTTTATTTCGATTCGAACGGGAACTGGTTTCTCTTCCTTTTGGTAATACAACTTGATACGATCCTTACGAAACGGTTATTTCTTCCAATCTCTATTCAATATGGATTCTGCAAAGCCTCAATGTGGTGGAGCCGGGACGGGTGAGGATTATCCTCTTGGCTTGCATGTCGGAGGTCTTTGTAAGTGCTCCACGCGCTGAAAGCTTGTCGTGGACTACTCCACCGTGATAAGCGACGTGTTTGCTTGGCAATCTAACAATTCGACAGTCGCTGTATTTGCTGTTTCTGCTTTCGGTAGGTCAATTACTTCCTGATATGAGATGTCAATAGCTAATGCTTCTCAGGCGCTGGTTTCCCCGTCGCTGCAAAGAGGATAAAGTGGCTCAAGATGCCTCCCAAGATCTTCTTTGCTTGCAAGCATTTCGGTACTGGAGTTTTGATTGCTACTGCTTTCGTTCATGTGAGTAACCGCGAGATACTGGTCAAAACTCACCTAACAGTCCTCAATAGCTTCTCCCTACAGCATTCGGCAGTCTCACGGATCCTTGTCTTCCCGATCTCTTCACCGAAATCTACCCCGCCATGCCCGGTGTCATCATGATGGCCGCCATGTTCCTCCTCTTCATGGTCGAGCTCTACCTCAACGCAAAGACAGGCGGCCACTCTCACGGCGGTCCAACCGGAACTACAGTCACCGTCGTCCAGCCTCCTCCTCCTCGACCTCAGCGCCCATTCCCTGAGACCGCCAACTTCAACCATTCTCACTCTCGCAACGACTCCAACGTTTCCGACGACTACGACGATGTTGACTACGAGAAGGCAATGGCTCGAGAGCTGTACGAGAAGGAGAACAAGCCTCACGCCTACTCTTACGAGCAGGACAGCAACTCTTCCATGCCTGCTTGGTTCGTCGTCTTTTACGAGCAATACGTTCGACAGCGCTCTGAGATGATGGACATGATCAAGCAAACTCAGTACTCCAACCAAGCCGTCATTGATGACAAGCCCAGTCCCGAAGTCAGCCAGTCCTTCTTCGACGAGGAGGGTCAGACAATTGATCAGGCTACCTACAAGCGCATGTCGATGAACATCACCCTTCTCGAGGGAGGTATCCTCTTCCACTCTGTCTTCGTCGGAATGACAATCGCCATGACGACTGATGGCCTCGTTGTCCTTCTTACTGCCATCATGTTCCATCAGATGTTTGAGGGCCTCGGTCTCGGAGCTCGTATCGCTGCTGTGCCTTATCCCCGCGGAAGCTTCCGACCTTGGCTCCTTGTCCTGGCGTTTGGCTCTACTGCACCTATCGGCCAGGCCATCGGAATCGCTAGCCGAAACTCCTACGACCCCGAGAGTGCACTCGGTTTAATCATGGTTGGAGTCTTCAACTCTATGTAAGTTTCCCTCATACCGCTTCTCTCAATCATCTCTAACAATTCCCAGCTCTTCTGGTCTTCTCATCTACGCTGCTCTGGTCAACCTTCTGGTTGAGGACTTCCTTTCCGAGGAAGCCCAGCACCTCATGAAGAAGAAGGACAAGATCGCCGCTCTCTGCTGGATCGGCCTCGGCGGTAAGTCTCTCCCCCATCTCATCGTCCGTGCTCTCGCTAACTCTGCCAAGCCTTTGGTATGTCTGTTGTCGGTGCTTTCGCTTAGACTTCACAAGTGTTTGAAAACAATAGACATGAAACCACGCGACGGAAAAGACGCGACTCAGGATATGGTATCCTCATAACGGCTCTTTTTTTACTTGTACTATACTGGGGAAAGGATGGTGATGGTGTTCGTCGGACTCTCATTCATTACGGAACGAACATTGGGATGGTTTTAAAATTTACGAATATATTGATGTGCATGGATCAACAACTGCGAGCGGTACATAATGATTATGATGATATACTGGGACTCTGAAAGTACTGCTGCTACGATAGAAAAAAAGAATAGAATCTTTATCTCACTCCGGATACTGAAGTTCCGCTTGTTGATGTTTGAGTTGCGCATTGATCCTCTGATGCTGAGCGCATTGACAATAGCTTGCTCAGCCAATGGGAAAGTTCTTGGCCGGTTTCATCATCGAGTTCCAGGATACGGTCTTGGCAGCTTGTAAATGTTTTATAAGCCCTTGTATTATAACTCTATTATCAACGTTATTTATTTATAGCTAAATAATACGATTGGCTCATTTCCCTGTCAATGGTGTTGCAATCCTTGATCGCTGCGACAGCTCTGCATTGCCCTGCATCCCCGTCGAGGAACGTTAGGCATATGGGTAAAAGGCGGCTTTCGGCAATTTGAAGCTTCCGATAGAGTCGCAAACATTCCGAGGTCGACATTTATATGAGCTTCTTATATTGCTGTTATCATAGCGGTTAATAATCTAGTAGATCATCTTTGCTTGATGAATTTGTTTTGTTCTGTTTAAGGACGCCAGGAATTATGCACAAGTCTGGCTTTTGTACTCTTGCGCCTCAAGTTGTCATTATACTGATAGCATCATTTCTATGCTATTCTTTGAAGGGCATATAGGCTCAAAGGAACCAATCATACACTGAAAAGCGGCACTGGATGCTAGGGATCTAGACGAAGATCAAGGATAAAGAACGATGCTGAAAGGCTTGATGGTAGGGAATTCGGTGAAAGTGAGATTTTACCGTTGAGCTTTATATCAAGAGCTGGATGCATTGATACACTTAACGGTTCATCCAGTCAAGCTCCTTCAAACCCCATCAACTCCAATACGATCCGATGCGAATAATCAGTGCGCAATATTTCCAAGCCCATTGACTGAAACTCTGATTCGCTGAACGTTTCAAAACGTTGGGCCAGTTCCGCTTCTGTCCAATCAAACCTCGCCGGCTTTCCCGATTCGGCAACATCCTAATACTCCTAATAAGGGTCACTTGGTGGTTCTGCGCATAAAATATCATATTACTTCCTCGACTGTTTCTGATGATTCATGGTTAAACTTCCAAGGAACTACTGTATTCGGAGCCATGTCTTACCAACCCCATCGCATTCCCTCGTCACTGAAGGAATCACTCTTTTATGTACGATGAAGACTATTCCGGCTAGTATTTTGACAATATAGCATCTGCCATCGCATGGATCTAACCCTCTTCTTGAACAATAAGCACGACCCTAGACTCCCACTCAAAGAGGAACTGTAAGAGTCGAGCTTGTGCCCGCAACACGATGCACGGCCAGTGGACTTGGTCTTTCCAACTACGCTCAGCATACCGTTGTTCAAACGCCTTCTTCTGCATAGCCTGCCCATGCCCAGCAAAATTAACCCAAGTGCCTCTCATCACCAGTAAAGTAATTCCGAAGTACAAGCCCTCGGTGTTGAGTGGCTGCTCGGTATGTTGGAAGGACTTCACAAAAGGTCAGATGATATGGCGCTACAAGAAGTGCTGGGACAAAACGCTATGTGAAAGGTGCCGGAGGAAGACTAAGAGACATTATAAGCACGTTCAAGTAGAGAGGTCGTCATTATGAGGGGTGTGGAGCGGGATGAAGATGGGGACGAGGATAATGACAGTGATGGCAATGGCAATGAGGACGAGGATAAGGGGTTGGAGGGTGTTATTGATGCGATTGCTAGTATTGTTGCTTGATATCGTGTCGTTACCACTGTAAGGTCAACGGAGGACTAAGGGTTTCCCAATGATGAAGGGATGATCATGGTGGTTACTATGGCCGTTCATGTATTAGATTAGAGCTCAGTGAATACAACTGATCCAGCACCTAAGGCCAAGCTACTTCGTAATAAATCGTGTCAGAGAGACATCGGCTCTAATGTTGACTATCTCTTATTCTGTCCAGTCTAAAGGTGAAGTCTCGCATGGATCATTTAAACACGTCTCAACCTCCTTACCATAGCAATAACCTTACATATCTTCCCTTTTTACAAGAGAAAACATTGATCAGTCCCACAGAAAACCACCGTTCTTTCTCCATAACCCATCCGGGTCGTATCGCTTCTGTACACGCTTCAAGAACCGCTCATTTCTCTTACCATAACTAGACTGGACAGGCTGGTTAAGGAGTGCATAGTTCATGTACCGTGGATTAGTCCGGTAAAACTCTGCCTGCTTGGCTGTTACAGAGCCCGGAATGGCGTTTGTGCTGGGTTCTTCAGGTGCAAAGGATGCTGCCAGTTTATCTCCGGCCTTGCTGATTCGCTCGATAAAGTCGAACATCTTCCTATCGTCCTTGGCGTCCAGCCAGGCGAGCGTGTAGTCGATCCAAACGGCATCGCCAGCGTCAGGTTCAAGGCCAAGCACGTTCTTCACGCCTGTGACGTTCTCACCGGCTCGCATCGCAAGTGCTGGCACTGGCACCAACGCCATGGAAAAGAGTAGATCCTGGTCACCGGCTGCTGTTGCGTTGGCCATGTCTCGAAAGGCTTGCCATTGCTGAAGGTACAGATCAGCGCCGTACGGCGTCACCAAGTTAGGGAATGTGTGGCCGCCGATCAACCAACGTTTCTGGGGCACGTTACCATTGTTGTTAGAAGCTATGAGGGCTGAATAGCTTTGTTTGGAGGTTGTGTCTGCAATTGGCTTGGCTGCATAGAAGGCGGTAAAAGGGTTGGCGTCCCCGACCGGTGGTGAAGATGCATTGTAAAAGACATAGACGTTGATAAACGACAGTTGTGGGTTGGAGCCCCCTCCCATGCTGAGGTGCATGTGCGATAAAGGGTCATAATTAGCGATGAAAGCCTGCGTGGCGTTGAAAACCTGGCTGGCCTTGTCGATGGAGAAGGTCAAGGTGCCGGCCCAAACCTGCGTCGTTTGTCGATAAGTCTTCAGGCTGAAGCGGGTTACAATGCCAAACTGATTGCCACCGCCTTTGAGTGTGCGGAATAGGTCGGGCTTGGATGTTTGATTGACGTTGGCGATGGACCCGTTCGCAAGAACAACTTCATAATTGAGAACGTTATCGCAGGCCATGCCGTACAGCCCAGTGAAGTAGCTGATACCTCCTCCAACGACCAGCCCCCCAACTCCAATTGATGCGAATCTGCCCCCAATGACAGTCACCCCTTGGGGCTCAAGCGCCTCATACACGTCAACCCACCGAGCGCCAGACCCTACAACCGCATAGCCCTTGTCAGCTACATTCTGGACTCCATCAATCAAGTCCAACGAGATGAGAACTCCATCCTCCGTGCTGGACCACCCGGGCCACGATCCATGGCCCCCGCTCTTAACGGCAAACCGAACATCGCTACCGCACGCTGAGAGTACCTTCACGATGGAGGCTACCTGCTCCGTATTTCCGGGCCGCGTGATGCAAGCAGGGCTTAGATCACCGGCCGTTTGGCTCCAGTAACTCTTCTGAACTGTCTGGTACCCTGTCGAGTTTGGTGCTAAAAACGCTTCAGCTGGTAATTTTGAAGCCAGAATCGAACATGCTTGAGGTCCTGTTGAGCAGAGGCAACTCGCCACTGCGGGGGCAGCCAATAATCCTAGGCCTCGTAAGAGCGCTGCACGTAGCCTTCGGGTAGAGTTGTTCTGCATCGTTACTCAAGTTGATTTCGAGGCGTGATGCCAGTTCCACTTGAACTATGCGATGGGATAATCAGGCGAGGATTAATCGTGGTATAGAAAATGTATCTCATGTGTTTTGAACAAACATATATCACCTTCTTCTTCGGTCTCCCCGAGCTCAAGTGTGACATTCCCCGCCTTTGGGCCTCACAGATTGGCCACTGCAGATGCATGAGGTAGTCCACATATCCAATTGGCGTGCGACTCGCTTACATTCTACATAAGCACATCTGTAAATGCATATGGCTAACCCCGCTCTGGTGATCTCCTACCTTTACATATCTGAGTAAGGGCAGGTAGAAGACACTTAGGTAAACTTAGAATGGCTCACTATTCCTTCAGACCAGCTCATTTTAGCGCCGTGATATAATACCAGAAGTTCTCGAACTCTCTGCGTGCTATGGAAAGGCTTCACATTGCTCTTCTTTTGTCTGACGTTCGTTTCCTCCTTGGGGCGAAGGAGACAAGATACAATAAAAGTTACAGCGGCTTCGAAAGCTACATCACGCAAATAGGACAAGGAATAGAGGTCAGGTAACAGTAAACCGATTTAAAGAGTGACAAGATAACAAACATAGTGACCAAAGACTTCCCTGTAGCCAACGCGACCTCCCCCACAGAACCAAAAAAGGGAAAGAAAACGCAGAAATTGAACACATACCAAAGAGAAGCACAGAAACCTAGGTAATATCGCTACCATCAGAGTCAGAGATGACGAAAGGATCATCTTGAGAGCCTAGACCCAAGTCAACCGAGTTGGGGATGTTCTCTTGAGAACGGCCGGGTCCCTCAGAGATAGGAACAGAACTAAGACGAAGGAAATCTGCGGGGTTGGAAACGCCGGTTGAGTCTGAGCCAGAGTAAAGTTCGGAAGTGGTGTCGTAGCGGGGAGCTACAGGAGATCCAGATTGAGCGGGTGAGGGAGAGCTGGAGGTTGAGACTCTGCGTGGCTCTAACCATGACCGAAGGCCAAGGGAGGGTCAAAAAGTGCCATCAGACCCATGGCGACAAGATGAAGCAGAGGAAGACTGAGGGCTAGAGGTGATGATACAGTCTGTACGTAGAGGCGTGTCAAGCCAATCTGCAGTCTGACAGCTCAATCTGGTGTTAGATTGGGTAATTGTCATATTATGTCCGTTGTCCAGACCCTCAGCTGCCTGTCCGATATAGATACCAATCTCACGTTTGACACCTTGTTCGGCCTTGACAGGGTCGAGCCTACGACTCTCTCGAGGATGCCGCCGACGTCCGGCAATACGGTACGCGTCGTTCGTATATTCCTCGCCCTCTTCGAGATTGTCGAAGCCCTTGACTGAGGTGAAATGTTAATAACAACCAAGCATCGATCTCAGATCACAACTTACATCTTGTGTAAGGATACCTGTCGTCCTCGAATCTCGCAGTTTCCCATCCATCATAGACTTTTGGCAGATGCCCAACATCGACCGCAATGTGCTTCTTAGATATGTTGTTGCTTGGTGTAATTAGAGATGCGTGAAGGAGGCAAGAGGCGTTGATGCGTTGTGGTGGGGGATGCGGTGGTAGGAACTGCGAAGTGACAAAGTGATCGAGTGAGAGAAAAGGTTCAGAATGAGACTGTCGACTGATTGTAGAAAGATTCAAAGGCGTGGTTGAGATGAGAGAGGTGTTGAAACTGTTGGGATACAGCCAGGAAATCTTGCTTCCAGAAGCGCCTGAAGCTGACGAATATCCTCACCTTCTTCATGCGTCTTGACAATCAAGAACATGAAGTGGTCTGGTCGAAGAGGAATATGGATGGTCAAGATATTGGAGAGTGCGCCACCAGCGAGATGGCACCTACAACACATTTCCACCATCTGAGCTTGTTCGACATTACAAAAGACTTTAATGCGTACTCTTCACTGAGTCTCGTCAGCCAGACGAATTGCAGTAGTGTACGCCATCTCAGGACTCATATCTTCATACCGTTAATAACAGGCCGACTTTACTTTGATGGCTTATTCTGCGTATTTTGCTTCCAGAAACTGGAGGCCAGGCGAAGTTTGTGTGGCACATTGGCTGGACTCGTAGGGGGCTAGCCGAAGTGCTAATATAGTTCTTTGCCTTGATGAAACTCATGGGGGATCGAATGTTTGCAAAGCTGGGGCATGCCGTAACCCCGAAAGCTCGCAGGCCAAGAGTCCTGGAGAGAGTGGTCCCATGCGTTTATCCAACAAAAGATTTTCTTGACGCCATCCGAAGTCTCGACCCAATTGCGGCGGCATCAAGTCCCAACATCCCTGTGTCAGCTCGAGTCTAGGGGCTTTTGGCAACGATGCTTGACCCTGGCTGAGAGCTTGCGAGAGTAGGGAGCTGAGACTGAGAGTTTCAAGGGTCAGAAACAAGGGTGACGCTAAGTTAGTTTGCTCCTGACCAAATGAGGAGTGATTGCGGATGACTGCTCATTCAAATACTGAAAGTGGATGCCTCGAGAATCTGTACACAACTCAACTACTCATCCATCGTTCAATACCAATACGGACGTCATTCTTCTCAATCAATCCCGTCTACTATCACTTCACTTGTCCAATTACTGGCGAGTGTTCATTGTCAACTTCATCAATTCGTTTGCCTCTTCTCGTCTTCCTTTCGCTGCGTCTTCCACTCTCTTCACTTCGACTTCCAGACCATGTGCTTCAATCAGGGCTTTTCTTTCGTTGCATCTCAGTCGCCATCTCTAAATGGTGATTTTGATGTGGACATGGAAGACCCTGATTTTCCCACAAGTCTTGGTGAGGATATGAAAGAGTATGCAGACGACGAGGGATGTGCCCATGAGGCTGAGTCCTTCAATCATCAACCTTTTGTCGACCAGGAGGTGCTTGTTGAAACCATGCATCTTTTCAGCGTCAATGTCAAGATCTCCGAGCAACGTGTCGAAGTCCTCTTTGACGAGATCCTCCAGCGAGACGCAGACCGTCAACCTCTGGTCGTGGCAGTGCAGGATCTCTGGTCGCAAACAGGACTTCATACGACTGCCCGGTTACAACTTCTAGGTCCCTGACTTAGGACTCATTACAGAGGATGACTATGAGTCGTCCACCAGAGAAGCCTCTCAAGTCAACAGCATTGAACTTGCATGCCATGCTATCTGTGCAGCCTCGACTTCCCTCGACAAGGTCTCGGATGCTATGCAAGACTTCACAGGTGCCCCAGCCGAAATTGAAGAAGCTCTCTTCGATATCGTCCAATCCCTCTCTTCTGCCCACCGTTCCCTCGTTGCCACTCATGATTCTTTCGCCGAGGCTCCGGAAACTCTTTCCGTCGCCATAAAAAGTATCGAGGATGCTCAGGGAGACGTTTCCAGGGCCCAGGATGCTGTTCCACAGATCCAAGGTATCCTATTCACTGCTCTGGAAGAGCTCTCGAGTCCTCTCCGCGTCCTTTCGGGTGTTCGGAAGGGCTTTTCTGGTGAGAACGACCAGCAGAGTCATTCCCGGGATCGAATTCGCGGCGTGGGCTTCTATGTTCATTCATCCCTTCGGACTGATCAGTGGAGAGTCCGGTCTTATCCCGGTGATAACGAGGATATCTTTGCCACTCTTGAGCTGATTACCCCGTCGGGGCTGCTTGCCATTCACAACACCTACAACCACAACAATCGGCTGGACGTCCCGGCACTGCTTCAATATCTGACATCTTACGAGAAGTGCGACATGGTCTTACTTGGCAACTTCAACTATCACCACGAAACTTGGAGCATCAAGATGAATGGCGTGGTTACTCAGACGATTATGCCGGAATCCAGGATGTTTGCAGCCGGTGTTAAAGGACTTGGCCTCGTCCTACAAACGACACCTGGGGAAATCACCTTCTCACGCTCTCAGAACACTGATCAATGCCGCTCCACGATCGATCTGACGTTTGCGAGCCGAAAACTCGTCCCATCGGTACTCTCTTGCAAGGCTTTGCAGGTTCCTGGCTTCGTCAGCGATCACCGCGTTATCGAGACTGTTCTGCGACGACGGGTCAGCACTCACGTCAAAGTTATACCTCAATGGCAGGAAGTTGATTCCAAAGACTTTCAGAGGAGTTTGGAACAGTCACTGCCCCCGCTCGATGCTCCGCTCGACACCACCGACCAGATGGATGAGTACATGACTCAAATAATGTATGGTTTGTGGGAAGCAGATCACGCCAACGTCCGATTGAGCATTCGTGATTCCCAGCCACGGCGACTGAAGTACTTGGCCAAGCGTATGCAGAAACACACCACCAGGTTGGACGCTCTGAAAGCAGGTCCCCAGAACGATCAGTCACTGGCCCAAATACGCAGGATCAAACGCCAGGTGAGCAAACATGACCAAGAGTTGTGGGAGATGTTCACTGAGGACAAGTCTGCGACCACGAAGGGTGCCTACGAGCTTGCGGATATTTCGAAGAAGATCCGCGAGCCGAACCAGATCTCACAGACACCAACCCTCAGAAGTGGTGATGATGTCGCAGAATCGGACAGCAAGAAGATCGAGATGGTCAAGAAGGAAAAGTTCCCCGGTAATGACAAACCGTACTCCAAGAGCATACCCGACGAGCCCCGTCCCCGGCCAACCAACGGCCGACCCGAGTTATTTATATCGCAGGATCTCACCGACGAGCAACTGAGACTGATCATTTCCAACCTCAAAAGGGGCAAGGCTCCCGGGCCTGATCTCCTCCCCCACGAAGCAATTCAGCTTGGTGGTGAAGTCCTGCGTTCTCGACTCCTCCGACTATTCCGCTCTTGCTTACTCCACTCTCACTACCCCTCGCCTTTGAGAGACTCGATTCTAGTCATGGTGCGCAAAACCGGCAGACCGCTTGCTGATCCCAAGTCTTGGCGGCCTATCGCTCTGCTATCTTCTTTGGGCAAGATCCTTGATAGAATCTTGGCTGACAAGATGCTTGAGGCATTGAGGGCCCACCCGGAACTTCTACCGAGTCGTCAGTTTGGTGGTAGATCTACTACAGAAGCGCTCCAGTACTTGCTCACCATCATCTACAATACCTGGACCTTTCACCCTGGAAATGTCGTTACTATCTTCGGCCTTGACATGAGCTCAGCCTTCGATAGCGTCTTCCGCGCCCGGCTCCTACAGAATCTAGTCGACAAGGGCTTTCCTCCATGGTACGTGACCATCGTCCGCAGCATGCTCTCTAACCGAATCGCCACAATGCGCTTGCCTGGCATTGTTTCCAAGCTCTTCGCGTTGAATGCTGGGATTCCTCAAGGCTCGCCATCTTCGTCTCTTCTGTTCGGCCTTCATTCTGCTCCTTTTCTGGAGGAGACGTCCACTGGTCTCCAGAAGGTAGAGGTTAATGGACAGACTCACTGGGTATACCTGTACGCATTCGCCTTTGTCGACGATATCTATCTTATTGCAGTCTCCGAGAGCTACGAGATCAACTGCAAAGGCATTGAGAAGCTTCAAAGCTCAGTAGAGGCTGTTGCTGCGGAGCTGAAGGTCGGCTTTGGGCCTCACAAGTACAACCTCATGCATATCATTGGGCCAGAGCGGGATCACCCTGATACCGACTTCAGACCCAACATCCCAGGGTTTGACGGGTCACCCCTACCAGAGCTGCGTATCCTCGGTGTCATGGTTGATCAGAGGCTGGATTGGCAATGCCATATCAACGATATCGAGAAGAAGGTCAGGAAGCGGCTTGGCTATCTGTCTACCATCTCAAAACGAACGACGGGCCCGACATTGCAGACCATGCGGCTCTATTACCTGACCATGATCCGGCCTGTGATCACCTATACCTGTGGCGCATGGTTCCTCCGACAGCGTGGAGGCGACAAAGGGGACTGTCCCGTCAAGTATGGGTTTACAGACAATCAGATCAAGCAACTGGTGTCACTGAACAAGGAATGTCTGACGAGGGTTTCTGGTGCAGTCTTGGACACAGCAGCCGAGATGATGGAGAAGGAGTTGTTCGCTGAGAACATCGTGACTGTACTTCACTCCCAAGCTTCTCAGCAACGGATCCAGAGTCTCTTCTCCCACGACATCAGATGGAGGCACATCGCGCGAGACGGGTGGGAAAAGAGCAGAGCGTCAGGGCCAAAGAAATCGCGTAAGTTGACAGGGGACAAGGCACTGGGCCAGGCGCCAGGGGATAAGGAAACGAGCTTGGCACCACGGAAAAAGAAGCCATGCAAGGCGCCTAGGAACAAGACTCCATACCAGGTTTTGGATGCCGAGGCGACGAAGATTTACGAAGCAGCCAAGAAGGGTCATGATCACAGAGCAAGAGTCAGCGAAAACCCAAACGTATGGGAAAAGGCTAAGGAGCGATGGGCAGATCGCAAGAAGCGGCGCGAGATCATCAAGGCCCGGGTCAAGAAGATGGACACTGAAGAGTGCGAGGTCAGATGGAAAGCGTATGTTCAGCAACGGAAAGACAATATGGTGTCTGGTGGTAGTAATCCCAAGGACCTGAGACTGCCGGTAGCCTTGACCGAGGACTGGGGGAGGAAGAACCTTGAGTACTACTCGGGCCTGACTCGCGCCCAGAGCACGATGTTATTCGCATGCAGGACTGAGCGCATCGGCCTTCGGAAGTATCTTCATGACATGCGCATTCCTGGCTTCGAGTTCCCGACGTGTCCCTACGGACGTTCCCGAGAGACAGTGTTCCATCTTCTTGTCGAATGCCCCAGACTGCGTGAAGCGAGAATCGGCCTGTTTCAGCAGCTAGGTCACAACGACTTCACGACACTCCTCACCAGGGACGCCAAAATCGTCGCCGAATGGGCCATCTCTTACTTCGATCTCGCAATGTTTGACGCTGTCAGAAAAAGGTCCTCCCGATTCCCCGTGTTTCCGCATCCGATTTCGCCCCGTCCGGAGGGCTTTCTCCAGACTCTCTCCGCTTCGGCTACAGAAAGACGCCAAAAACATACCTCACGCACATCACGTACCTCCAACAATCCACGCCGTCGCTCTGTACCGCGCGCCTCGCAAGCGACGACTTCGATGTCTCCTCAAATGCCCCAGGTGCCCTCTTCGCCGCCCAGACGAAACCCGACGCGCTCAGCCCGCACACGACCTCTTACGAGTTAGAGCCGCTTGCTTCCAATGACATTTAGCTGCCTTCTGTCACGCAAATCGCCGCGTGCCTCTCCGTAACCGCACCTCCATCCTCCGGTCTTCGCAATACCGACGATTTCCCTCGACAAAGCCCAGCTACCTTCCTCTCCTACACGAAACACGGCGCGCTCATAGCGCACCACGATCTCCTCCAACCCGGCGATGCCGGCGATTCCTTTCGATTCCTTTCGATGAGGCCGAGTTACCTTCCAAAAAACACTACTCAAACCGCCTTATGCCTCTCGGAAACCCTGCCAAACCCTCCTTCGGTCTTCGCGATACCGACGACCCCCCATCGATGAAGCCTGGCTGCCTTCCTTTACTACACAAAACCCGACGGTCCCATGCCGCACTACGGTTTCCTGCAAGTCAGCAACACCCTCGACACCCTTACGCCAAAAGTTGACTGCCTTCCACCACTCACGAATCGCCGAGTACTTCTACGCAAACCTCCGTATTATTCTCCGGCTTGACGACGCGCCAAGAGCTCTTGCCGCCTCTTTTCCACCCAGACGAAACCGACGCGCTCACACTGCAACACTGCAACACTGCGATCTCCCTATGACTCACGCGTTACCGGTTGACGATACCCTTCAACCAGCCTCATCTCCCTTCCCCCACTACCCCCATCGCCGCTCACGATTCGTAATAGCAATCCCATCATATCTTCTGGCTTCGCGACGCCTCATTAGCCTCAGCTGCCCGCCTCGCCGCCCAGATGGGAGTCAACGCAATCACGTAGCATGATCACCATCTCCTATGAGTTGGTGACGCCACCGATCCCTTTCGACAAGGCTTCGATACTTTCTACAAGTACGAGAATTGCCGCATGCAATTCAATGCCGCATCCTCGCCATATCCGCCTGCCGCATCACGGCATGCAATCCGCTTCGGCAACACTTAGTTGCCTTGCCTTCAACTCTGCACGAAACGCTGCCTACGTTTCATAGCTACAATATCCCCAACAGGATATAACCTTGCCTAGATGATGATGCAAGTCATTACCTAGGCAGGTAACCTAACCAATCCTTGATGGAATGGTCCTCTTTCCCTCCCGCTCAATGCGGGAGGCACCATCGTGTTTAAAAAAAATCATTTGTGTATTGTAAGTCATGCAGCCCCCTCAGCCCAAGTCTTGACCATAGCTGACCTTGCCCTCCCGGAATCTTATGAACTTAATCAGCTTGTATTCTCTCAGCTATCGAAGCTTCCAGTCGGTACGCCATGCCCCTCTTCGCGATGCGCTGTCGCACTTCAGTTTCCTGACGCCTCCAGCCAGCCCGGATGTGACTCACCTCAGCAAAAGTATAGGTAAGCCTCAATCCGCTCAACCCAGCCCGTCTTGTCGCTCATCTACTGACACCATCTCCAGACACTTTAACTTTTCCAGATATGTGTTCACATGTCTTTCGATCCCACTCTTGGACTCACCCGCTCAGCACAGCACGCACATGATCCTTCTTGGAGTCGTTCAACGACGAGTCGGCGTCTTCTCGCAATGCCGCTGTACGTATATATGTTCACCTTACCATCCTGTTTGTCTGTTTACTGATAACTTTCTCAGCGATGTATCCTTCAGCCTTAAATGCCTTCCACAACGCCACGATTTCATTCATCCAGTCGCGATTGTACGTAAAGCATTCTCAGACAGATCGCTTACTGATTAAATAAAACAGACCCTTTAACGCCTTGATCTTAGTCTTGTCGTCATCAACCTCCTTATCATTATCCTCCTTATCGTCATCCTCCTTCTTATTATCCTCCTTCTCATCAAGTCTTTGCAGCTCCTTTCTCTGCTGGCAAATAAAGTGTAATAGGTAGTGAGCGCCTAGCTCATTGGCAGCTGCACTAAATGCGTCGCAGCCAAAGAGGGCAATCTGTAAGTTCGTATATATACTCTTCTTCTTCATCTCCTGATATAAGCCTTCTCTAGTGATGCAGGACTTGCCGCCGATGTGACTGCCTCCATCGAGCAGCTCAGTAACTGACCAAAGCTCTTGGGCGCTATCTTTCATACCGATATACAATTTAGCCACGCCTCCAAGGTTGATCAAGATGATGGGGAACTGGGTAAGATTTTTAGACATCCTAATATAGTAGTTTGCGCTCTGCTAACACATATCTAGTGGATATAGTCTTGAGCTTCTTGGCTCGTCGAGCCGTTGCCGACAACAGTTCGGATTGCTGGTAGAACATCCCTCCCTCCTTATACTTCGCGAGACTAACTAACCCAGGAGTAGCTGACATGCTGTTTGTGGAGTTGTGGAGTTGTGGTGTGTGCAGAGATGCAAACCCGGGGTAGGTCTTCAACTGTGCCGTAATCTTTGCTGAAATACTAACTCTCTCTATCTTTCCAGGTTATATCCCTTTATATACCTCTTGATCTCTTCACCTTGCAATGCCCTAGGGCTTGCAGCAAGATGTAATGGTCATCGTGAAAGCTTCTGGGTAAAAGCTTATATTGAGGCAAAAAATACCGTGTTGTTATTTATTACCTGTGTTTGCAGCCTAAAGGTTAACCTTATAGGTGGCAGTCATCCCCGTAGTTCAAATATTACCCAAGTGAGTAGATTAGCATCATTGGTGGTTCCTGATTCGTGTGACTGTTCTGCGTTCCTTTCTTTTGACTTCGTGGCGCGCGATTGGCACTTTGAAGTTTTGTCATTGCGAAACACAAGCCCCGACATCGCTGTGTGAGTCATCTTGTCTTTACACTCGGGTTATAAGAGTCTCTCATTTCCCTCGCCTCAAGACTCCTCATTTCATCCACTTTCCAATCGCATAGGGCGAAGCGTCGTCATCCGCGGCATCTTTACCTTCGTCTAAACACCACTCAGCACTATGTCTACCGGAGAGCAGCCCATCGTTCCAAAGGCCAGTCTTTTAGGGCTGCCTTTGGAACTACGTCAGCAGATCTACCACGAATACTTTACTGTCCACGGCGGCTACATTCACGATGGAGACTCCTGTAAACTCGTACAGGCCAACAATCAACCGATCGAGCTATCGCTGAGGTACGCCTGCCGCGCAATCGCGCACGAAACTGGGCAGTATCCGTTCACTCTTAACGCGATTACATTCTCGACTGTTTACAGGCAGAACTGGAGAAAGCAAGCCAGATGGGCTGACTACATCATGGATCATCACTCCTCGTTCCAAGACGCCATGCTTCTTCGGCTGAAACGACGTATTACGCCCGAGATGTACGAGAACCCTGATCTAAAGTATTCTCAGTACATTCCCATCATCAGAAAAGGTCTAAAGAGGAGCATGGCCTCCTGGGACCGTTTCAGGGACACCGTCCCTGAAGATTCGGAGGAAACGGAGGATTCCCGCGCATTTAAACCCCTCCGAGAGTTGAGATCCCACCCAGCTACCAGCGGGAGATGCTGGGGTTCCACGGTCATAAGCCTCAGTCGCGTAGATAAGACTATTTTCTTTTCACGCGCGGTTGACTTTCTTCTACGACAGGTGGCAGAGAAACACCCACGGGAATTTTCACAAGCAATTGAAGAGATTCTACCTGGTTGGACTGATTCGCATTCTGTCTCGGAGTTCTTCGGCCTAACCTTTGATGCATGGGCAATACCGCCCGTGGATGAAGTCAAGAACAAGTTGGAAGAACTACAGTTAAGCTCTTTATGGCAAACGCCAGACGGGTGGCGCCAGTTGAGTGACAAACTCCCTGGATATACTGGTCCCGAGTACCGGTACCAATACAAGATGCGGCTCTCAGCTGCAGCTGTTGCCATTAAGTTCCTGGGTCAGATCTCTCGGCAGCAGAGACTCTGTATATCAAAGCTCGTTTTAAATGATGATAGGAATGCTATTAGCAGTCCTGAGTCCCATGTGCTTGGACTAATCCCATTCTTCCAAGAGAATACAAAGCTGATAGTTGAACACCGGCTTAACCTATGGCGAAACATCCTCCCCACAGGCGCCAACATAGCCATCGCGGTAGAAGACCAAGGTCTTGACCTTCAGGGATGGGACGACGTTCCCAAAACGCACCAAGCCCGGTCCGTTTGGTTTGCCAAAACTGTCACCAATGTCATCATGAATATCTCAAAAGCTTTGACAGAAGGCCTGCCTTTGAGATCTTACTCTCTCACAATTGAGGGCGATCCTGATCTAAATCACGCCACTGAATTCTTTTCCACAATCATGAAACCCTATATCGTCTGGCTGACGGCCAATACGGATTGCGTCGCCCAAGGTATTCTTTTGCCACCGGAACATTGCAACTATCCATTTGATACCAGAAGCTCGGGCAAAGAGACGACAATTTTGCGGTCGAACTTCACTCTCGACCAGCCCTGGAATTACAAGGGGATCATCGAAGACAGCGAAGACGAGATCATTGGCCGGTCATTGGAGTCACTCTTGACTGGCTACGGATTCGAGCCTGAAATCGTCGACGTTTCCACCGATATACTCGACTGGATGGAGATCAAGAGAGAAAACTTCCTTAGAGAAGACATAACAAAGGAGGCCGACGGAGAAACAGCTGCCTAAGGTCTCAATATGACAGATGTAGGTGGCACTTGAAGGCACAGGAATACAGGCGCTCTGAGAGGAGATTGGGAATGTTGTGAGAGGTTTCTAGCTTCTAGGTATTCTAGACACAAATACTGCGACTTACTGCGATGATGAATGTTGATAATAGCACTATTGTAGCACCAGGTACAGGGCTTTCTCTTGATACTCAGCTTCGTTCCTCTGCTATCAGCATGCTTCCCTTGTAAGCTGCACTTTCAGAATGACAAGCAGGCTAAAATGCTCAGGGATGATAATCTCCTTGTAATAATACGTCCAACCAGGTAGATGAATCCCCTGGTGTCCATATGTCCCTCTTCGAGGTTTGTTTCAGGCTTCTGGCCTCTAGTCTTGCATGAGAATATTTGCATACTTGGGTCTTGAGTGCTTTTCTGTGAGCGAGGAATCGTCTCACCCAAGGCATCGTCACTTCCAGAATTACAAGGTAGGAAAAGGCACGATCATCCCCAAGTGGTTTTGAGTATTCAGTCAACTAGATCACAGCTGAGCAGCCCTTCATGGACTGGCTTCGGAGCTGTTCGATCACCAGGCACTTGGCTTCACTATAATCACTGATTCGTATGATGATTTAAGCTCTCATACATAAGTTTCAACTGTAAATGACATATCTAGCTCACCGCTTTCTGGGAAAATGACCCGGGGCCGAGGGATTTACTCCGGTGTCAGAACCACCAGTCGGATATATCGTGCTTTTCTCAAATAAGCTGATGGCTTTCTGGTAGCCTTGATTTGCGCATTCTCAACTTCTGATCTTTTATCCTCTGTCTATGAAATAGAGGTGGTCTAGTCTATCTAAATGTGTGTCGGGAACAGAAGCCGACCCATCGTCGTTCCGACCCGAACCTCGGTTTGCGTAAAACTACCTAACTGTCTACCGTCGAATCACCAACTTAAACCCGCCAAAATTCAAAGAGTAGCAAATGAGCTAATACGAAGACTGTGAGTGGATTGGAATTATTTAGATCGAAGGAACCCCTCCTCGTCTGCACCTCAAAAGCCCTTGACGCCAAAACACTGCACCGATCTTCGTGTCATCGGGCTCAACCTGGACAGCAAGTTTTATAGATACGAGGATATTTCTAACTTCTCACGATGTCGACAATGGCTTCAGGCAATTTCTTCAAGGCAGCGCTTGACATAGGCGCAGGGCCGAGCCTCGGATATTGGCAGATGATGCCCAGCACCAACATCTCACGCATGCTCGCGCAGACGCCTGGCTGTGACTGGGTGTTGATCGACTGCGAGCACGGTGATCTTGACGGTTCGTTGACAGAGCTGGACTCGACGAATAGCACTGACTGTGAGCAGATCGAGATATGCGCCAGTGTGTCCCGGCCGTTGCAGCAGCTGGCGCATCGCCGATTGTGCGGATCCCGAGTACAGAGCCATGGCTCATTAAGCGTAGGCGCTGTTGACTAGCTTTATCTCGGGTGTTACTAACGATTACCTAGGGGCACTGGATGCTGGTGCGCATGGAGTGGGAGACCAAGTATGTCGAGTTGAACTGAGCAACTTGCTAACACTCTCCAGATCCTCGTTCCCCTCCTGCAAACAGCGCAAGAGGCTCGCGATATCGTAAAGGCCGCTAAATTCCCTCCCATGGGCAATCGTGGTTTCGGCAGCCCATTCTCCATGGATCGCTTCAAACCCGTCCCTACATCGGATGAGTATCTACAACAGGCCAACGACAGTCTACTAACCCTCGTTCAAATCGAGACAAAGTCTGCTTTAGATAACCTTGAAGACATTGCAGCCGTCGAAGGCATCGACGTTTTATTCATCGGTCCTTTTGATCTCGGTGAGTAACTCAGAAGCAAGACTTGGATTGCATTGGGGGCTTACATCGCATAGGTAACAGCATTGGATATCCGATCCTCAACGGTGTTGTGAAGCCAGAGCTTAAGGCTGCCATTAACCGCATTCTTGAAGTTTCGCGTAAGGCGGGGAAGAAGTGCGGTATTTATTCTTCATCTGCGGAGCAGGCGAAAGGATACATCGAGGCTGGATTTGATATGGTTCATGTTGGGACGGACTTCGCGATGCTGCAACAGGCTACGAGATCTGAGATGGGCACTGCTCAAGGGAAGGACTTAGGAAAGCGCGTGGGTTATTAAAGCTCTTTTGGAGACGTCAAGATCAATAGAGGTTGCCTACTTCACAGTCCAGAGAAACTTGCAGGGGTGCGCCCTGTCCTCAGTGAATTGGCGGCGATAGCTGGCTTTCATCACCTCGGTTCACTTTTGAAGACACTGACAAAACTTCATAGAGTCTTCTTAACAATATCCGCCGTGTTCTACTGTATGGTCTGACTTTTTGTTTTGTCTGTCTGTGTTCTACAAGCCAGCGACTAGCAGTATAGCAGTCCAACGCTACTAAGACATAGCGGTGCTTGCATGCATTTAATGCATCAGACAAATGCGCTAGGTAGCCACTGTCTGGTTATTTATGTATTAATAAGACACACAAGCTGCTCTTGGTCGTTTTGTGTAATATCTAATAATATCATAATAAGTTACCAAAAAACAAGACTTAATGAACTCTTCTGTAAAGCTACTTCCGTCACATCAGAGCAGTCAGTAGTAGCAGAGAATCTAGGTAAACTACAGTAAAATAAAGATCTCTAATAATTACAATTATTAAAGAGAGATATAACTACTTTTATTTATTAAAAGGCTTATAAATTACATTTATAAAAGCAGTTCACAGGTAAGGTCTTAGAGATATTTTAAAAAGAAAAAGGAGGTAAAGACAAAAAGTGCTTACAATAAGCAAAATTATAAAGATGGCAGAAGATATATGGCAATATATAGTAGTATGTCACATGGAACCTAAGTAATACAGGTTACATCTACTCATATCACAGCTACCTACTGCCTATCTACGCTACAGGTCACAAGGTCGCGGGTCAGGATTCGAACCAACAACGCTTGTTGTTGTGACCTACCTTCGTAGAGCTCTGGACACCGGCCATTGCCATTCCGTCATTGCTCTACGACAAGGGAATACTGAGTGGAATCGGTATATAACACTATCCCTGTGTCTATTGGGGCCTTGTGACGTGTCTGGAGCTTGTGTTGAAGTTAATATCGGGTTGAGTTTGTGTTTGACTGGACTGGAAGGCGAGCCATGGGCAGTGGCGAAAGCTAGCAGCTGTTAAACCCGTAAGTGACAGCGCTCTTCTAAAATAAGCTGGTTGTTGCCAAGTGATTTATTCTGCGTATTGGATCAGGATTTGATGTGGAAGTCGTGCCAATACGTCAGCCCACGTCAGTTCATAGGAGTCGAGGGTTCATACTAACTACCCAGCATAAACAGACCTAGATTCATCTACGTCATGATCAAGACTCATCCATGTGCCGTGGGAACCTCCGTGTTATGTCCCAAGCAGCTTCAACAACAAACCCTTCCTCTCAACACGCGCTAATCACTGTCATCCATCGCAAATATCAGCAACGTCTCTTCACGGGTCTCTTTGCAACATCCCAAGGCCCTCTTCTATACTTACCGAGCTTCTATTAATGAAATAGTAATCATTTACAACAAGAAAGGAGGAACTGGTGCCCGTTGCTGCGAGAGTCGTCCAGCTCAGGAGCGAAGCATGACCAAACTGGTCGAGTCTGACAAAGCTGGGTACACGCCCTGGTCCAGGAAACCATTGTGAGTTGGCCGTACGGTATTCCGTATCAAATTCGTTCAATTAATCCTCATCATATATTCGCTGAGTGTACAGAAGCGAACTATGGCGACCCGTCGTTTGGGTCACGTAAGTCCACGTCCCCGCCGGGCAGCGAGCCTTCATATCCTTTAGCAAGCTCTGAATAGCCTCTGTAACTCGTATCTTAAGTACTGGGGAGACACGTCACTTGTTTCCCTTTTAAGAGAAACGTCGCCCTGTTATTTTTGTATCGAGCCCTGAATGTTGTCATATCAATACTCAACGAGTTCGTAGCGAGTTTACCGGCAAAGAAAGTCTACTCGGGTCTCACCTTACGCTACAAACTGGCCTGACCTATGGATTCGGCGAATTATCAACCATGTTGAGGTTATGGCTACCATCAAGGTTTGTCGTCTCAGTTTTTCAAAAAGCTGTTCGTAGAACTGAACTGTTTTGGCCAAGTAGCCGTCGAGACACAAGGCATGGGCCCCCATCTTCGCAAGTTCTTGAGGCACTTTATCCTATCTCTGGATATTACCGAAGAATTTATAGATGCAGCCGTTGAGGAATGACGAAAGGGGAGTGTTAAACTCCTGCACGGCCTAAATCAGTCCATCATGTGCGAGAACGTCTGAGGCTGGACACTATCTACATTCTCCACCAGCATCACAGTTTCAGTATTAATCTACCATTTGTTTGTTTTTACAAGCCTTTCGGATGATATTCAGCAGCATCAATTGTCTCAAATGTGCAGTTGTTCCCATACATCGTCGGGGAGATTGATAGGAGAACGCAGCAGAGGGGCAATTCACAACTACCGATTCGTGAGGCCGAGTGATGAGCTTGATTAACTTACGGTTTAAGGGGCCGTTCTTACATTTCATCTAATCTTCCCTGTCGGTGTCGGCCTCTTCGTCGAGACCTAACATTTCTACTCGCGGCTTTTAGCAGCGGGTTAGTGATTGAAGCTGAGGGATAAACTGCACGTTCAGCAGCTTTCACTCCCTATATCATTCTTCCCCTATGAACGCCCATGAACTATGATCGCGGTTATATCCTTAATTTACGTTATCTCTTCATATTCTCGCGTGATCTTGTAGCTAGGTGGGTTGAAGCGACCGGAGACAGGTCCAGCCCAACCGAGGCTTCAATCAAGATCACACGACAACTGCCGGTAATACTTCGCCGTAACTAATGAAAGATCCAGTATTCATTTCTTTTTCTCTTTCACTTTCTTAATGTCCTTTTTTGCCCTCCGTTGATTAACGGAAGTGACAGAATTGGCTGCCTTGCCGATGAGTCA